TCTACAGAGGCCCTGGGTTCAGTCCTCAGTACCCCTAAAGATGAATGAATCAAGGTGTCTGCAGCTGCAACTAAAATGTATACCTTAGAAAGGGCTGGGGTGGCGCCCGGTGGTAATGTGCCTCTGGGCCCAGTCCTCAGCACTCCCCTTTTGGAGGGGGACCCTCTAAAGCTCCTGCGCAACTCCACCCCCCGCGGTGGGGACCCCACCGGAGCTGGCTTCATTAATTAGTCTTTCCTGGCTCAAGGAGCTATGGGTTCCCCCAATTCAGCGTTTGGGGCACAGGACCTGGAAATCACACCCCCCCATGTTTGAACTCGGTAAAACTTTCCCCGCCCCCGAATTTCGAAGTAAACCCCAAACCTGGGGGAGTCGCAGTGGAGCGCCCACAGCACCGAAGTTCTGCGGAGAGAAGGGGCCCAGCCTCGTCCCGCCCACGTGGTAACTGGTCGGACGGGTTCCCAGGGGCCGGCTCCTGACCCTTTGACCCCGCCCCTCCCCCGCCCGGGAAGAACAGCCGACAGGCAGCGCTTTACTCAAATCGTCTTTATTCCCTGACATTTCCAACAAAACGCCAGGTGGATGGGGAATTCAGAATTGGTCACGGGAAAGGTAAACACCCTACAAAAGCCCTGGAGGGTTCCCGCCCTCCCCGGCGGGCCCAGTCCGGCCTGCGGCGGCTCCCGGCTCAGCGGGAGCGCACTTGGGACGCCGCCTCCCCCACTCCGCTCCCGCGGTTCAGACCCGGCATTCGCTCTGGGGGGATGGTGTCCGTGTCCGAGGGTCACGTTTGGGACTGGGAACACACTCGCCACCTCCTAACGCACCATAAGAGAAAAATTTTCAACCCGAAGAGTTCGGCTGCGAGGCGCGGGGCGCTCGGCGGCAGCAGCAGCACGCGGGGGCGAGTGACTCAGGCCGCGCTCCTCCCGCGCCCCAGGGCGGACCCCCAGCCCACCCTCCTCCCAGGCCCACGCCCACGCAGCAGCAGGAAGCTCCCCACGCCTGCCCCGTGACGCCACGATGACCGCTTGCTCAAGTATGTCGTGGAGGGGGACAGGGAGTGCCGGGGTCCTCTGCGCTGGGCGGCGCGCCCACCGGCTGCTGGAAACCCGGAGGGCAGCGCGGCCGCGTGAGAAGTGAAGTCCGACCTGAGGAGGCTCCCTGCTCCAGCCGCGGGGCAGGTCCGCGTCTCAGTCCAGAGAAAGCACCTGTGGGCGCCGCAGCTCGCGGCAGAAGGCGCCCGCGCCGCCAGCTCCTTGGAGCCGCCGCTGCTCACGAGGGCGACGGCTCCCCCGGGGCAGAGTCCCTTCCGAGCCTCTCAGCAGCCCGGGCGGCGGCTCTTCTCCACGGTTCCCGCCGGCGATCCCCAGGGGGACGTCGCCAAGGGTCTGCGCACTCGAGCCGACGGTTCGGCGCGCGCTCTGGGCTCCGGTAGCGCCGCTGGGGTCCTCAGAAGGCCACCACGGCCCGCACGAGCACGTTCAGCATGCTGTCCGCGGGGCGGCAGGCCGGCGGGGCCTCGCACGCTGGGGGCGCCGTCGGGGGCGCGGCGGGGCTGCAGTTCAGCAGGCCGGAGAAGCGCCTCTGTAGCACGCGGGCCAGGTTGGGGAAGGCGCCCTCGGCTTGTGCGGGAGCGGGTAGGAGGCGGGCAGGAACCTCCGACGACGCGCCCTCCTCCTCCTCCTCTTCCAGACGGGCTTTCTTACTCGGGACCAAACCGGCGTCTCCGCCGTCGCTTAGGCTGCTGCTCCGCCGCTTGCGGCTTACTTTGGCGAGAGGCCGGGCACCGCGGGCAGAGGTCTCCTGGGCTCCCGATGCCTCCTCCTGCGTGTCCATGGGCTCCGGGGAAGGCTGTTCTCCGTCGGGGGGCGCTACTTCGGCAGGGGTTTCCGCTTCCCGCGGCGGGTGCAGGCGGGGGTCCGGGGACTTGGCCGGAAGCGAGGACACCTCGGGCTCCTGGGCTTCCACCTTGGCTGAGAGGTAGAGCTCCCGGGCGCTGCGCATGACCAGCGACAGCTGCAGACTCCGATGAAGGCGCAGGCCACCACGCTGCATGCGCGAATGGTACATCTTCCACACCGACAGGGTCATGATGCGTTGAGCCTCCTTCTGCACCTCCATGGCAGCTCGACGGTGAGGGCAGCAGGTACTCCTGGGACGGACAGGACTGGCAGCAGGTGTACTCTGAACAACACGCCAACCCACACAGTGACACTGCTAGAACGCTCTGCCCGGGCTCCGGCCACCTGGGCCCTTTTATCCTTAGAGTGACGTCATGAAGAGGCCCCGCCCAATCAGAGGGCCGCATCCGGGCTTTCCACCACAAGGTGGCCACTCCTTAAAGCGACAGGGTGAAGTTTAACCAGCCGGGAAGAGGGTCGGAAATCCCGGCGAGAGGGACGGTCTCCTCCTGCACACTGAGCTCTTGGGTGGTCTCCTTTCGTAGAACCCCGTGCGCAGGACCCGGGGAGAGGAATCGCGGGTGTGGCTCAAAGCCCACCTATGTGCTCGCGTCCGGCGACGCCAGCGGGTCGTAGGCGGCAAGTTTCCCTTTTCACTGGGGAAAACCCGCGTTGGAACCCGAACATCCCCCGTGGGCACCGTTCCTGGCATCAAGGAGCCGTCTAATTAATGTTTTCTGAATCAGTAACAATGCTGCCACTTACTAAGCGCCTACTACACGCCGGGCTCTGCTAAGGATTTTCCTTTCATTAACATCTGATCCCTCATCTTCACAGAACAGACAAGATGCGTGCTTTCTTAGGAAAAACGAGGTAGTCACTCGCCCAGCATTTGCTAAACGAATGAACGGGCTGCTGCGATGAAAGGGGGCCACTGGGGCCTGCAGCTCTAAATTATCTAGCGAATACCGGCCCTCCTCATTTTCCTGGAATCTAGGTGGTAAAGAGCGGATGGCGTTGGCTGGTTCCAGGGGGAGTCACCCGGCGGGCAGCGGATATCCGCGGACCCCAGAGCACAGCCCAGATTGCCGTCCCCCACCCAGTACCAAGCATTCCCATTTCCTGAGGCTCGACCTCCACGGATAGGCTTGGCCCTCGCGAGGCAGTGGACCCAGTGGCAGGACTGTCCCAGCGAACACGTGGCTGCTGACCCCCCCCCAACCACCACCACCACCACCGACAATTGAGCCGTGCTCCGCCTTTCCTCTCGGGGAGGCGGGATAGGGGTGGGAGCTGAAAACTGAACAACTCAAAAAACAGAAAAATCACCATCGGGCCCTCCCTCCGCCACGCGATATTGCTCCAAGAAAATTTAATTCCAGTTGAGAGGGGAAGAGACACACTGTTCCGATGGTTCCATTGATTCACGGTGTGGGCCCTTTAAGGAGTGCCCCCAGACGCACAACTGGCGAGCAGAGGCTTCCCGCCACTGGAGCCCGCTGACTTCCACAGCTAAATTTGGAAGGAGTGACGTCCGGCGGGCGCCAGAGCTGCTTCCGGCTGCCCATATAAGGGCAGGGGCCGGGATCGCCGGAGCCGCCGGCAGCCGCGGGCTTCCGGGCGGCGGGGGCGGGGCCTCGGCCGCGGGGAGCGCAGAGGGGGAGGTCTCGCCTCTTTCCCTCGGGGGGCCGGGGAGGCGGTTCGCCCGCTGCTGGCGGCGACCTCAGGGTTACCGCCGCGTCTCCCGGCGACCCCGACAGCACGCGGGGCGGCCGGCTGATCACCCTTCCCTCCGGGGAGGCCCCAGTTGTCCCCCACAAGGTCACCTGGTTATTCCGTCCCCCCCCCCCCCCCGCGGTCCCCCTGGCCTTAAGGCACCCTCAGGACGTCCCGCCTCTCGTCTCACGTGGGAATCCAATCACTCCCCCTCAAAAGGCCCCTCCCCATTCTGCCATCCTGCCACTCTCGGCGGTGACCTGCCGGGGACGCCTCCCTCCCGGTCCCGCTAGCCACCACGCAGATTCCATACTGACACCCCCAGCCCAGGCGCCATCCGTGGGACCCCACGTGGGGGCGACCCTTCCCCTCGGACACCCCGCCCCGATCCTCGAGGGGGGGGGAGCCCTCCGTTCAGGCGATGGCTTCCTTCCACTCTCCCCAAAAAAGTGCTTTCCCGGGAGCCCCACCGAGGCGGCTCTGTCGCACAGGAGGTGACCCAGTAAGTCCCTCTCTAGACGGAGACGCCACGCGCACGGAGGTCCCCCGGAGTCCAGAGCCTGCGCAGCACCCCGCTCCCCGGCTCACAGACCTGGCGCTCACGCAGAGACGGGCGTGGGAACCCACCTGCACACACGCTCTGGAAGGTGACCCTTCCGGACGTCTCCGGGGTCCCCGCTCACTACCACCCCGCCCCCAGGCGACCTCAAGGCGACCCCTGCTCTCTCCTCCCTCCCACAGGCCTTTTGTAGGGAAGAAGAGTGGAGAGTCCAGCGGAAGTCCCCGCAGAATTCCCACTCCTCACTTCGCCCCCGCGGGGAGGAAGGGCACCGGCTCTCCCCGCACCGTTCCATAACCAGCCACCCGGACCCGGGCTGGGACGATCTCCTGGGACGGCCCCGGGTGCCGACACTGGAGTCTGTTAAAAGGTTCAAAGCGAGGCTGGGGCTGGGGCTCAGTGACAGCGCTGGCTCAGCACGTGTGAGGTACAGGGTTCGATCCTCAGCACCACATAAAAATAAACAAAGACACGCTGTCCACCTACCAAAAAAAGGGGGGGTTCAAGACCTAACCTTGTCTGACTAAACGGAGGCTATTATTATTTTTCATTGCCCAGAAGGGACACTGAGGTTATGGAGTAACGGCCCGAGGACTTGGGTCTCGAACCCAGGCTGGGATCTCGGACCCAAACCCCTCCCGACATAACTAGGACACCACCCCTCACCCGGGAGAAGACGATGATGATGGGGTGGAGCCTGCGAACAGGAAGCCGTCTTTGCCCACAACCAAGATGACTGCGAGGAGGACGGAAGTTGTCGTACTTCGGGCTTCCAAGGACTCTCTTTCTCTTCTGGAGGGCCCGCTCTCTATGGTAGCGCGTCGAGGGCTGGGTTGGCGGCGCATTCTCCTGGCTAGGAGGGAACCAGCTATCAGTCACAAGGAGGGGGTTCGACTGGGAGGGAGGGGGACTGACATGTCTCTCGAAGACCCTTTTTTTGTAGTCCGAGGGTGAGTGATAGTGCTGGGGGAGGGCGGAAGGTCATCAGTCCCTTGCCAGCCAGTGCATGGTCAGACGTTCTGGGCACGGCTGCACCATCGGGGTGCACGGGTCGCCCCGTGGCCGAGTGGGAGGATTCGCAATGAGATATGGAGGTCTCTTGAACCCCCCATTTCGTTTGGGGGCGAGCGAGAGGGCCGTCTGCCCACAGCCACTCCCACTGTGCCCCTGCCCGCAGCGAGGTGCAGAAGGCGGTGAACACCGCCCGCGGGCTGCACCAGCGCTGGTGTGAGCTCCTGCAGGATGGCGCTGCGGTGGGACGCGAGGAGTTGGACTGGACCACCAATGAACTGCGGAATGGCCTGCGCAGCATTGAGTGGGACCTCGAGGACCTGGAAGAGACCATCGATATCCTGGGGTTTTGGAGGGGTGGCATGGGAGAGTCCATTGCTGTAGCATGTGCTCAGGGAGCCCACCTTCCGGGAGACTGGACACCGGGAAAGTATTGGAGGCTGAAAAGTGAAGGCCCAGGGGTGTATCTAGCTCTGGCCTTGACCCTTGACTCAGCCCACGCATAGTGGAAGCCAACCCAGGCAAGTTCAAGCTCCCAGCAGGGGACTTGCAGGAGAGAAAGGTGTTCGTGGAGCGCATGAGGGAAGCTGTTCAGGTGAGGAGAGGTCCTGATGGGGTGAGTTTGGGGAGGTTAGGAATGTCTATACTAGCTAATGCTGCCCTCACTCCCAGGAAATGAAGGACCACATGGTCAGCCCAGCAGCCATAGCCTTCATGGAGAGGAATAACAGAGAGGTAATGCATCCAGACCCAGCACACACCTCTAAGTCTGTCTCGGGGACCCGTTGCTTTGAGTGCCAGCCCGATCTGTGTTTGCCTGCCTTCTCTGTGTTTCCATACCAGTCTCTTCTGCATTAATATCCATCCTCTGTGCTGTTCTCCAGCCGCCTACCTGCATGCTCTTTCTGGGTGTGTACACCTAAGCACTCCTTATCTGCAGGTTCCACATCCTCAGACTCAAGCAATCAAAAACATTTGGAAGAAAAAAAAAGTGTCTATACTGAATATGTGCCTGCTTTTTTCTTGCATTTCCTAAACAATACAGTAAAACAAATACATATTATTTGCGTTGTATTAGGTATAAGCTCGGAATGATCTGATGTCTACGCAAAGATATGTAGTGATTCTATATGAATGTTATGACATTTTACATAATGGGCTTAAACATCCTCAGATTTTTGTATCTATGGAGGTCCTGGAACCCAAATCCTGAAAATATCAAGGAACAATCATAATTTCAGTGTGTAGTTCTCTAAGTATACTGGCTTTTTTTTTTTTTTTTTTGCAGGAGAGGGCCTGTATACACTTGTCCTTTGTGCTGACCTGCCATTTGCTTGGTGTGCGGCTGTTTCCAGGATATATGCCTATGTGTTTTTCTCTTTGCATGCACCTGCCCACTGGGGTGTGTGCACTTGACCTCTGAGTACATCTCTATCTCACCTCCATGCATGCACTACTGCCCTCTGTGTCTGTGTTCTCATTCTCACTGCCACTTGTCTACCTTTTTTCTTTTTCCACACCAGGGACTGAACCCTGGGTGCTTAGCCACTGAGCCATATCCCCAGCCCTTTTTCATATTTTATTTAGAGAGAGTCTCACTGAATCGCCTAGGGCCTCAGCAAGTTGCTGAAGCTGGCTTTGAACTTTCAATCCTCCTGTCTACCTTTTCCCTGTGTGTTACCTGTCCATTCTCTGCATTGGAACACACCAGTCCTTCTCCATCCCCTCACAGACCCACACGATCAGGAAGTGTGTGGGTCTGAGGCCCACGTCAGTTTGCCATCCTGAAGCAGTGCCCACATGCCCTTCCAGATGTGCCACCTTGGAGATTAAATCCAAACTCTGAAATACATCTATTGATAAAATAATAACAAGTGTTCTGTCGAGTAAACACTCAGTGGCCAGGGGAAGTAGCTCAATGGTAGTGTGCTTGCCTAGCATGCACAAGTCCCTGGGTCCAATCCCCAAGACCTCAAATAAATAAAATAAACACAGGCCAGGCTGTACCTTGTGCTAAATGCATTGCAATTTAAAAAGGGAAAAAAGAGGGGCTGAGCGTGTAGCTAAGGGTTAGAACTTACACTTAGCATGTGTGAGGCCCTGGGTTCAATTCCAGGCACAGAAAAAAAAAAAAAAAAAAAAGCAACAAAATAAAATAAGTGCATTGATTGTATTTGTCTGCACCCAATCCTGCGAAACTGGGAAGCAGGGACTGAGGAACAGGGAGGAAGAGCCACTTGGCTGTTGACTGTCTCTTCCCAGCATTATGAAATAATTAAAAAATAACAAGAGACAAATTTATTAATAGTGTATAGGGCACTGTTCTAGGTGTTACTAATTAATGAGATTCTCATTCCAACCCCAGAAAACAAGAATTACAGATCTCATTTTATCAGGAGAAAACAGGCACAGGGAGATCAATGTCATGGCCTTGGGGCTATTTTGCTAGGAAGTGGCAGGTCTGAGGAAGCAGTCCCACCTGAGACTGCTTCCTGATTAACTATGGATGTCCCACAAACATGCACCTGGCCCACTCCGCATGGGTGTCCCTCCCTGTATTCCAGGAGGTGCTGATGGCCAAGCCAGATGCTCAGAAGTCACACAGTGACCTGCTGGATGCCAGTGTGGTCTCAGCCACCTCACGCTACATTGAGGAGCAGCAAGCCACCCAGCAGGTTTGTTGTGGGTGGCAGAACGCCCTGGGATCCTCTGGACCTCTCAGGGGTCCCTGCTCACCGCAGCTACCCCCTCTACCCTGCAGTTGATCATGGAGCAACAGGACCAACAGCTGGAAATGGTGTCTGGGAGCATCCGGGTTCTGAAACACATGTCAGGCCGTGTTGGGGAGGAGCTGGATGAACAGGGCGTGTAAGGCCAGGACCCAGGGGGTGGGCTGGGTGTTCTAGTGTGCATGGGCCCTTTTGAGTCTGATGCCATCTTGGTCTTGGCAGCATGCTGGATGCCTTTGCTCATGAGATGGACCTCACCCAGTCCCAGATGGACAGGGTTCTCAGGAAGATGGCCAAAGTGTCCCACATGACCAGTGGTAAGTGCCCTTTGAAGGGGGTGGATCTTGGACTGGGGAAGGTGATGGGTGGTTCCACTTACCTTAACCTGTGACCTCTGACCCTTCTGTCCCCAGACCGCAGACAGTGGTGTGCCATTGTGGTGTTGCTGGGAGTGGTACTCCTGGTTCTTATTCTACTCTTCTCTCTCTGACCTGGGCTTTTCCTGGGGCACTGGCCCCTGGTGCCCTCAGAACCTCCAAGCCCTTTTGAGCTGACCCTGCCCCCTGGGAGGAGGGTGTGGAGCCTGGGGAGCTCTCATCTAAAGCCAGTGGGACTGTCAGGGCCACAGGGGGGCACCTTGCCACTGGTCCTGTCTCGAGTGCGCTCAGGGAGTAGTGGAGGCAGGGATCCCTGACACACTCCACCCCACTTCTAGTGCCCAAAGCCATCCGCCCTGTGCCTTCTACATGTGCCAACTTGGAAATAAAACCCTAGCTTTTCATAAGTGTGGATCATTCAGCGTGTTGACTATGATTGAGACTGACCCCTGATGGGACTCTTTCTTTTTTTCCATTTTATTTGCACTTATTTTATGCTGAATCGATTCTTGTGCAATAAGTTTTTGTTTTTTCTGGGATATCTTTTTCTTCTGTGAAACCTCCTCTTCTGGTTTAGGAATTATCTGTTCCTTTTCAGTGATGCTCACTGCCATGTGGCAGGGGAGGTCACAGGGGTTAATCTACCAAGAGCACTTTAAGTGCAGCAGTGCATCTTGGGTACCCCATTCACCTGTGTGTTCAATGATCAGAGAATCTACCTCTGAACCCTTCAGTTCAGCATTATTTTACATTTCAAAGCAGATGCAGCAAAATATCAGTACTCTTTTTGGGTCACCAACCCTGTATCTAGCCCCATGGTTTGGCCTAGGCTCACTTCCCAATTCTACCAGAATGGCACACATTGTTTCTTTAAAAAGACGTAAAGCAGGCACTTGGTGACTTTTCAGATATGCACATCCTTGGTGGCCTGGACAATTTCACAGGTGTTCTTAAAGTGAACAATATGATTTGAACCTTTTTTCTTTTTGGACTGGGGATTTGGCCCAGGGGCACTTAACCACTGAGCCACAACCCAGTCCTTTTTAGACACAAGGAGAGTCACGGAGTTGCTTAGGGCCTCGCCTTTGCTGAGGCTGCCTTTGAACTTGCCATCCTGTGTCAGCCTCCAGAGCTGCTGGGATTATAGGTGTGGGCCACCATGCCTGGCTCAATCTTATAGGTGTCCTATATAGAGGATGATGGGACAAAATGGGTTAATAATGGAAAATTTGAAAATTTCTGCCCAGCATGGTGGCACACACCTGGAAGACCACACAAGAGAAAATATTTTGGTTCCAGATGTGGTGGTGCATGCCTGTAGTACCAGCTATTTGAAAGGCTGAGGCAGAAGGATCACAAGTTCAAGGCCAGGCTGGGTAATTTTTATTGAGACTGTCTCAAAAAGGGACTGAGTTAGGCTGAGGCTGTGGTTGAGTGGTAGAGCGCTTGCCTAGCATGTGTTCGGTCCTCAGCATCACATAAAAATAAAGGTCAAAGAAAAGGGGGACTGAGATGGAAGTCCCTTCTCTATCATCTTACAGGATCTCGGTTGCTGAGCCTCTCCCATGGAAAATGTCTTCTCTGGTGCTGCAAATCAAACACAGGAGCTTTCGCGTGCAAAACGTGCACTCTACCAGTTTCACCCCAGCGTGGTTTCCACTATTTTTCCTTTTTGGGCACTGAGAACTGAACTCAGGGGTGCTTTACCACTGAGCTGCATCCCTAGCAAACCTCCCCCTTTTGTTTATGAATTTGAGATGGCCTTGCTAAGTGATCCAGGCTGGCCTTGAACTCACCTTCCTGGCTTATCCACCCAAATTCCTGGGGTTGCATTAGTGTGTTTCCACAAACATTTTCTCTTTTCTTCCAATCATGGGAGTGCTGGCTGTGAACAGGGTGAAGGGGCAAGTGTGTACAGGACTTCCTGGGTTCTGGAGGACTTAACTGCAGGGGCAGTAAGCCAGCATCACAGTAAATTCTAGATAGTTGTAGCTTTAAAAAAAAAAAAAAAAATCAGGAACTGAACCAGGGCTGCTAAACCACTGAGCCACATCCCCAGCCCTTGATGTATTTTTATTTAGAGATAAGGCCTCACCAAGTTGCTGAGGCTGACTTACTCATGATCCTCCTGCCTCAGCCTCCCAAACCAGAGATTACAGGTATGTGCCACAGTGCCTGGCTGCCCCTCTAGCTTCTGAGGGGCTGTCTAGGAACCCACAGGGCTAGCCCAGGCGCACCCCCTGGAGTGAGCAGCATGCTGCAGGACTGTTACAAAGGCGTTCAGTTTATTCTCCTCATCAGCATCACTGATATTTTCATGGTTCACATTTCCCAACGCCACTCCTCTCCTTACAGTAGTTAATGTGCAATCTCAGGGGCGGGGGCTAGGCCCAGGGCAGGGAGGGCGTTGGCACTTCACGCAGGACAGGGCGGGCAGACCCGTGGTCTGTCCCCTGTGAAAGAGGCGTGGGTGGGTAGACGGCCAGTGGAGTTGGGGGAGGGCCCTAAATTTTTTTTCTATCTGGTAGGTGGATGATTCTCCACTTGTATTTCTTCCTGGCTGCCCAGGGTTGGGGGACCATGCAGCTCAGGGCAGGGGAGGAGAGGAGAGGGGAGGAGAGGGGAGGGGAAAGCAGCTGGCCGCCAGGGCAGGGAGATGCAGGGGTGGCTCCTGGGGTAAGGCACAACCCTGTCTTTGGCTCTCCTAGTGAGGAGTTTCCTCCCCTGCACCCCCTGCCCAGACCCCTCTTCCCACCCCTAACCCCTAGACACCCTCACAGTCCCGGGAGCCAGGAGCACCTCCTGGGGTCCCTGAAACAAGTAGGCCCTGCCACCCAACCCAGTGCTGCGGGGCTCAGAGAAGGAGTGGGTTGGGAGAAGACCCTAGTCCCAGAGAGCTGCCCCCTCACTAAGGCCTGGAAGGAGGGGAGCTGACTGGAGTCCCCACCTGCCCCTCACCTTGGCTGGGCCCAGCTACTTGCCAAGTGACCAGGATATTGTGCTTTGGGATCAACGCTGGGGTGGGGCGTCAGGCCAGGGGAGGGTGGGGGGAGTGGGGGTGCGACTAAGGTGCTTGTGCTTTAGCTGGGGGTGTCGACTCCCCCCACACACTTGGGCCACCAGAGGCTAAGGTGCTGGGGACAGGCCAGGAAAGCAGAGTGTCGGGACCCCAGCCAGACCTGACACATCTGACAACCCCCTCCCTGCAACAAGCAGATATCTGGAGGGACCCCCTACAGGCTAGGGGGGGGTGCTGCTGGGCTGGGGGTGAAGGTCTCCAAATCAGATTCCAAGGGTCCAACCCTGGCTGGCCCCCACCCGACCTCCTGCAATCCCCTGCCTGCGGGAGAGAAGTGGCTGGGAGCTAGGGGCAGGCAGGAGTTTGGGAGGAGGAGGAGAGGAGGACAGGGCAAAGAAAGCAAGCCGAGATGGCGAAATGATGATGTGTCTGGGTTGGGGACCCCGGGTTCACAAGTAAAACTCAAGAAAACCAAACACTACCTCTAGGCGAAGTAAAAAGAGGAATGGTGAGAAAATTTCACAAATGATTGCTCACAATGAATGTGGGCCCTGCCCTGCCTGCCCTGCCTGCCTGGCCACCCAGCCAAGGCCCGGGACATCCTTTAGCTGTCGTCTGGGTGGGGAGTGAGGGGGAAGCTGGTTGGACCCACAGGAGCCCAGGTGATGGCTGAGACTAGGGACCCACCGTGGAACCACACCCACACTCCATGCACCCACACATTCAGCCTGACCCAGCACCCCCAACCTGCCTTCCACAGCCCCCCGGGGAATGAGGGGGACCTCAGACACAGTCCCGTTGGTTTGAAAAATAAAAGGAAATCTTATACTTCAATATTTCATTCGCTAAAAAAATGTTTTAAAAAGTATGTACAGGAGGTGGGGCTGGGAGCCCTGCTGTGGGGCGGGGTGGGGGGGGGTGGGGGAGTGGGCAGTAGCCCCCCCAGCCTGCTCCCCTGGGTTGGAACCCTGGTCTTACCGCCTCTCATGTTTTCACTAGTTTTTGAAAGCAAACCTACACACACGCACACATGCACACCCACACGCTCTGCGAGCCCCGGAGAGCTATCCTGTCCTCTGAGACCCTCCCTCTGCCCCCAAGAACTCCCTCACTTAGGACCAGCCTCTCTCAGGCCCAGGGGACTGGCAGGGGCAACAGAGACTGAGCGCAGGGTGGTGGGAGGGAGGGGCACTGGGCCACCACTGGCCCCTGCCCTTAGTTCAGACTTGGGATTTCTGAGCCTTCTCTGGGCCCCATTTCCTCAGCTGTAAAGTGGACAGTCCCTCTAAGCCTCGCCTATCCTAGCCCCCAGGTACAGGGACAGACGAGGGAGACAGGAAGGCGCTTTTGGAGACTTGGAAGCACTGGGAGGTGGTAGGAGGGGTCCTGAGAGCCCCCAGGGCCCCCTGAGTCCCAAGGGGCTGCAGTGAGGGGACAAAGTGGCCCAGAGCCTGGGAAAGGGACCTTTCACAGGTCTCCCAGGCTGGCCCCTTCCCTGTGCCAGGCCTGGTGAGCAGGGAATGACTACTAAGGGTTAGGAAGGGGAGCAAGGTGCTCCCCACTGCATGAGTGTGTTAAAGAAGGCAACAGGCCCTGGCACCACCTGCCCCATCCTCCCCAGCCTGGCTCGCATTGGGGGAAGGGGATGGGACAGGGAGGCAGAGGGGCTGGGAGCATGCAGCACCCCCCAAGGGTCCTGGGGAGGGACAGACAGTAGCTCGTGACCAAGATGGTGGGCGGGTGTGTGACGGGAAGGGGGAGTGTGACAGCCCCTTGGGGAGGGTCCTGTGGGGTTACTGGAGGACCTCAGCCGAGGGGCCGGCCTCGCCGTCGTGGCTGGCTGTCTCAAAGCCGTGTTCCATGCTCATCATGTCCGGCTCCATCTTGCCTGTGTCACTGATGAAGGTGGTGTAGGCATCGCCCTCTGCCAGCATCGGCTTGGCCTTGGGCATCCAGCTCTTGCGCACCACGCGGCGGGCGTTGGTGCACATGTCAGCGGCAATGGCGTTCATCTCACTCTCCTTGAAGTTGGGGGCAAAGTTCTGGCAGTAGTCTGTGCAGGCAGAGCAGGTGGCTCAGGCCCATGAGGCCTGCCCTCCCGCTGCACGACTTTCCCAAATCCCCACAGGGAGACCACTGACCGCTCCCAGTGGTGGCTGACTGAGCTCCTAACAACTGGCAGCACTGTCTGGTGGCCACCTCTTTGGGGGATTTGCCTGGCTGTTTAAACCTTTCTGTGCCTGCCCAGGGTTTGAGACCCTCCTGCCACAGACCCCCTGGCCTCCCTTTAGCACTACCCAACTGTGGAGAAACCGCTGTAGTTACAGCCCTCTTCCCAACAAGCAGGGGAGATTGAGCCTCAAAATTCTAATTTTTGTTGTTTTGCTGGGATTGCAAGCATGTGCCACCACACCCAGCTCGGAATTCTTAACACAAAACTGCACCCATCCATTAGGGCCCGCACTGGATAAAAATACAGCTGCCTCAGACCCCAACCTGCACTCCAGAAGGCTGGATACTCACACTTGACGGCGTGGAGAACACGACTGTCCAGTGGTTTGCGTCTGGGATCATTGGTGGAGGAACGGATGCCGGTACCACAGCTGTTGGCCAGAGTGTTCCTGGGAATGCAGGGGGTAGGGTGAAAGGAGTCAGGGCTCCTGGTGGTGATGGGGTAGAGGACACCCACCTCCACCCTAGGGCTCTGGCAAGGGTCTCACCGGTCAAAGAAGGAGGCCAGGAGCCGTCGCAGCAGGACCTTGTGCCGAGTGCCTGCGCTGACGTGGCAGTTCATGAGCTGTGCCCTTGTGATGTACACATTGGTACCTGGTAAGGGAAGCAGAGGTTGACTGAGGGTGCTCCAAACTGCCAACCCCCATATGGCCTGAGCCCGAGCCCTTCTCAAGCACCGCTCCTTACAGGCCCTTCTGTGTTGGGCTTTGGAGCCCACCCACTGGCCCCGGAGGCCCAGAGCAGTCAGGTGGGGTTCCTCAGACCTCTTCTGCCATGTCAGTGCTCAGGAAAGGACAGAAAGAGTACAGGCACCACCCATGGGGACCTGCCACCTGCCAGGCCCTGCAGCAAGTCTGGCTTGACACTTGTGTGTGGCAGGGGTTCTGACCATCCCCAGACAAGGAGGCAAAGACTCATCAAGGTCAGCTGGGAGCAGAGAGAAGCCCCAGGTCACTGTGGCAGTTTGCCCCGAAGGCAGCTAACCTACCCCATGTGTGCACCAGCTCCCAGAGCCAGAAACCTCGGAATCCACCCGAGGTGCCTCAGTTCATATGTCACCTTCATTTTCTATGAGTGGTACTAGACACCGAACCAGGGTGCTTTATCACCGAGCTACATCCAGACCCACTGCCCACTCTAGCTTTTTACAACTGGAGACAGGTTTTTGCTAAATTGCCTAGGCTAGCCTTGAACTTGGGATCCTCCTGCCTCAGCCTCCTGAGTAATTGGTTACAAGCTGGGCCACCATCAGCCTAGCTAACTCACCTGATCTTTTTTTTTCCATACTGGGGATTGAACACAAGGCCTTGCACGTACCAGAAGAGCACGCCAATGAACCACAGCTCAGCTCTCAGCTCATCTAACTGCACCCCTGGTCTTGCCAGGATGGGCCGCTACCAACATCAAAGTCCAGATGGGGAAACTGAAGGGCCGAGGGCTTCAGCTGCCCCAGGATAGTAGCTTCTAACCAACACAGGACACGAGGCCTGAGGACACAGAGCGGGGGGATCTAGGGAGACAGTGGGGCCAGCACACCTGTTACCAGCTCCAGCTTCTCTGAGGGGTCACCCTCATCGTAGAGCTTGGGGTGGCAACGGTTGCCTATCTGGTTGATGAGCTCAGCTGGGAGAGATGCCAGGTCTTGCCGTACCCGAATACGACTTCGGGACTCTGGGGCCACCTGTTCCGGGAGGGCCTCCACCTTCTCGGCTGTGGGGAGAAAGCAGAGTGTACATGTGAATGTGTGCACCTGAGGGCGCAGGGCAGGCGTCCAGGCAGGGAGCAGGGCCTCACCCGTCTGG